AGAAAATGTTATTTTTTAGCTTATGCGTTCAAGGAATATTAGTCAATATAAAACAAAATAACATCCCATAACCGCTTACTATTTTTTTTAAAGACAAACCATCTAATAAAGAATGAGCAAAGAATATGTACAATCACTTCACAGAAGGGGAAATCCAAACAACAATAAACCTATATGTGAAAATATGGCAGATTTATTTGTTGGACAGCAAATAGATTACAAATTCAGACCTTTCACTCCTGACACCATCTCACAGCTGATAAAACAAGTACTTAAGAAAGCAGTAAGAATAAAAGACCTGAAGAAAACAATTAACCTAGTTAATTAATAGATATAGAACATTACATTCAACAGCTGAAAAAATAAATACTGAAAATAGACATTATTGTAAAGCTTATTCTGGACCATAAAGCAATTCTCAACAGATTTCAAAGGACTGAAATCAAATTACATATCCCCTAACCAACACAGAATTATTATGGAGTAGAATAAGAAATAACTAGAAAAACTTACAAATGTATGGAAATCAGACAATATGTTTGTAAATAATCACAGGTTTAAGGAGAAACCACAAGAACTAAATGATAATAAAAACACAACATACTGTAATTTGTGGAAGACAACTAAAATATTGCTCAGAGGCATACACAGTCCTTTAAATGCAAATATTAGAAGATTTAAAATCAATGTTCTATACTTCAAACAAGAATCTGGAAAGGAAAAGCATATTAAAAAATCTCAAAGAACGTGGGTGTATAAAAGTAATTTAAAAGAAGTGATAAAAGCAATAAAATACAAAAATGAACAAATCCCTTATTTTGTTTTTTTAAAACACATCAATAACATTGATTAGCACCATGAAAGAGCATAAATGACTAAGGGACAATAAAAGAGATATCCTTACAGATCATTGATGTATTAAAAGAAAAATAAGAGGACATTATTATAAAAATGTCAGTAAATCCGACAGCTGAAATACACTGCACAGATACTTGAAAAATACAATTTACCAAAAACAACCCAGAAGAAATTAAATATCTGCACAGTCCTGTATGTATTTTAAAAATCAGATCCGTTTTCTAAAAAAAACCTTCTCACGCAGATGTAGATGATTTCACTGGTGAACTCCTCTTACTAGTCAAAACAATACCAATCTTACACAAATTCTTCCAAAGAATAGAAAAATGAGCACTAAGGCCTCCCCAGTGGCACAGCAGGTTGAGCGCCACGCTGTGAAGCTCTCCACAGCCTCCATGGCGCAGATTTGATTCCAGCCAGGCCAGGGAGATTGCCACATGGCGCGACAGACCTCTCTTCTCTCGCCCACTGTTCCCTTCAGCAGTGTACTTCGGCCCTTCTGCCTGTTCCGCTCCCTGCTCTGTCTCTGGTGCTCTGTCTCTCACCCTCCCGCGCCTCTGGCCTGTACCCTAGTGCTTGTATAAATAAATAAAACTTAAAAAAAAAAAAGAAAAATGAACACTTATCAACTTCAATACACTTTATGAGCCAGCAAGACCCTGACACCAAAAACCTGAAAAAAGAAAGAATATTATCGTTGATAAATGGATTTTCCAAATGAAAGATAAGTGGATTTCCCCAAATAGATCTCTATAGGTTTAGTGCAATCCCAATAAAAATTCTAACAGATCTTTTGTGGATTTTGATGGACAAAACTGCTGATGACTATGTAGTCTCAGTAGGGGACTTAGCTGGGTGACAGCGGTGGCAGTATTATTAAGCTGAAATTACCTAATGCTGTCATCCCATGATAGGAAACAGTTTTCAAAAGAAATAAATACAGTTGTCTGTAGACTAGGCAGTTTCTTCTATAGATATTGCTAAAGATGCTGTGGCCATGTCTACCTCTGCAAAACAGATGATACTGAATTTCAACTAAGCTCCACTTCCACTCCCATTCCCAATTGTATTAGTAAGAAAAGAGTCTATTTCTTTCAAGACTTTTTTTTTCCTCCCCACACATTCCCAAATTTTCTAAGAATGTTGGGGTTCATTTTTTGCAAATAATTCTGCTGCCAAAATCAATGCAAGGTATGCAGGGAACTAGAGGTCACCGTTGCTGCTGCTTTTGGCTCCATGAAGTATCCTAGTCCTGCAGTGAACATGTCCGCTATTTCAGGGACAGTGTGGCAAGATACCACTCAGGAGCACAAGAGTCCATGAAGGGTGCAGTCTACCAAAATTCACAATTCAGTGTTCAACTAGCATTCCCCAAGCACAATCAATGTATGGGATGATTTTTGGGGAATCTTCTAAGCTCGGATTTGTATTGCACAAGTTCAGGCCCCTCTGTCAAATTTCTATACCATGTTTCAAGCCTGAGTTACTGAGTCCCAGGGCAGGTTGGGGTTAAGTGGGCAGCCGTGGGGACAGTGCAGGTTGTCCCCTGGGCTTCGGGAGAGTTAAACAGGCTTCTAGAATAAGGACAGTAAATTCTAAGAAGCGCTAACCAAAATATACTCCAGCTATGAAGCCAAAAAGCCAGGAGGACTAAACAAAGACAGGAAACGAGAAAATAAGACCTTGGACAGGGGAGGTAAACTCTAAGATAAGTGTTGAGAAAATGAGCACATCTGCCCGGAGGAGTATGGCCACTAGGAGAAAGAGCCAATCACAAAATGAAATGATGAGATTTTAGAATAGAGGGGGGAAAAAAGGTTTAAATACCCCTAGACATGCGCTCACAACAGCTTCCTTGGCCTTCCCAAGTATAGCACACTTGGGAGTCCTTACTTTCTTTCTTTAAATAAACTTTTCTTTGTTTTCTTAAACGAAGTTTCTCTCTCTCTCTCTGCTTACTTATCTAAAATGTCTGTGAATTCCTTTTTATGGCTTCGTGAGACACTTAGCTGCGGTGAACTCGTGGATGGGACTTTGCGCTGCCACTGCAGCCTGGGATCCATTCCTGGCTGGGAGACTAGGCCTGAAAACCTGCAAAATTATGGTATCATTACCTCCTAAACAATACCTACCACTACTATTGACTCATCACCCTACTTTAACCCCCCTTTCCCACTTTCCTTGAATAAAGAAATGCACCTCAGACTGTGGTCCAGGAAACTCGAGCACCTAGTTCACCTGGAAGCTTGTAGGAAATGCAAATTCTCACACAAATTGCTGGCCTTCTGAATGAGAAACTCAAAAGGTAGTACCCAGGAGTCTATTTAAAAATCTTTCCCTGGAAATCCTATGCACAATAAAGTTTTCTAGCACTGCTTTAAGTGTTTCGAAATCTTTGTCTAAAACGAGAACAGATATGTATTTTCAAACACGTATATTTCCCACTTGGCCAAGGACCCATCCTATCCTTTAGGTACTTATGTCTACTCTTTGTGATTCTTTTATGATGCTTTTAGTAGTTACAAGATTTGGAAGGCTCAGCCATTTTCTAAACGAAAGCCCCACCCTCTGACAAACATACATACACCTGGAGAGCAAAGGGATTATGCAAGACAAAATTTCACTTTTCCCTTGAGTCATCTCTCTAAATTGAGTCACTGGGTATAACCTACAGAAGCCATTGCTCTAGGTTGGACTACCATCTTCTGCACGCCCAAACTTTTCTTTAAAATCCTCATTCCTTCTGCCACCCACTACCTCTTCATTCACATCCCATGTACATTCGAAGCAATAAATACATTGTGTAATATAATCTGCCCCCAAGGAAATCAGGAGTGCCTGATCATCCATGAAGTCGGCATTTCTAATTCTCACCATATTCTGCTCTTGGCTAGTAGAGCATAGCATTTTGTACAGTCAGAAGCGCGGGAGGATGAGAGAATTCACCAGAGCCAGAGCGGGGAGCAGAGCAGACAGAAGGACCGAAGTACACTGCTGAGGGGAGCAGCGGGCGGCAGGAGAGGTCTGCGCGCCATGTGGGACCCTCCTCCGGTGGCTGGGGAGCGGCCGAGGATCGAACCGGCGCCGCAGAGGCCGCGGGCAGCTTCGCAACCCAGCGCTCAACCGCTATGCCACCAGGGAGGCCCACTATAAGGATTTTTAAAGAGTTAGGAAAGAAAATAGATAGATATAAAGATGCTTAGTCTTTGAGCATTTAATATGAATAGACACTTGAATTTGTTAGGGGTAGGTACGAGAAGGACACCAGCAGCCTCCTTAGACTTAACCATAAAAGCAAACAAAAGGGATGTTCTTACAACAGTCTTGGGAAAAAAAAATGCCTTCTCCATGCATTGTGACACACCAAATTTCTTGAATAATGCATCCCTCCTCTTCACCTACCCCCTATATTCTAATGCAATTTAGTACATGGAAAAGTCACCAACCTAAGCACAAATAAATGCCACTATGCATCCACATAAGTTGAAATCTGGTTACATTTTCCTACTAGGTTACACCAATGCTTTACTTTAGAAAGCTGGACGAAATTTCTCATGGATTTGAGCGTGCCAAAATTTCTTCATTTATCTACTAATCACCGGTATAGAAGCCATATACGTAATGTTACCTCTGAAATTAGGACATATCCTTAATAAAGCCTCTACTGCTCCCCACTGCCACCCCTTCATCTTACTCTGCTCTACACCAGAAAGCTGTTTGGCAAATTACAAAGAATAATGTGGTCTTTTCTGACAGTTTGGCTTGGGAACCCCAAATGTAAACTCACATCACTGCTACCAATGAATGATTTTATTCATTTTAAGGTACTTATTTTCTTTTATTCAAATACACTTTTTAAGACATGAATACACCAAGAGGAAGTGGAATAGGTTTTTTTCTTCTGAAGGAAAACTTACATGACGACCTCTACCTTAAAAATAATAAAAAAATACCCAGTCTAAAACTCCCATTTAAAACGGTATTCATTTTTGCATATTCAACCCCTAAAACATCAAGGTGTATGTGGGTGTGGATATGTTTATGGTTGTGTGGGCCTGGTTTGTTTAGGGAGAGGTTCCACTTCACCATTGCCACCCACTCTGTCTCAAAACCGAAGGTATTCCGAGGTGCCCCTGGGTTACCTGGAAGTGAATTCACCATACTTCAGAACCAGCACGTCTCTCTTCAAAATGTGGCTCAGGAGTCACTAAAGGAAACCACACAGTGTTAAGACTAAACATTCTTGAGTAAGCCTCAGCAATGGCAAGTTCAACAGCCTGGCCGTTGAGAGAGCAGTTACTGAAATTTTCCAAATAAATAAAGCAAACAAGTTACTTCAGGAAGAAGTTCACATCTATATGATTTATAATATTGGGAGTTGGCCCACTGAGGCAGGAGGAACCCAGTGAACTAGCAGCAAACCAGAGGCCACCCAGGCACTCAGGGCTGCCTCCAAGGTTTCAGTTCATGTTCAATTACCTACTGAATCCCCACTAGGAGTTGTTCTCTTGGGGTGGGTGACGGTGTCTCAAAACAACCAGCAAAAGTTTCTTAGTTGAATTTTATCATTCAGCATCTAAATGGGTTAATATTAACGGGGTGTGTGGGGGGGGAGCCTATTTAGAGGCCCCTGGCAGCAAGCAAATAGGGGGTAAAAATACTTCTCCAAAATCAATGTTTGCTTTGCTGAGGGCCTCCTTAGGTGTACATTGGAAACAATTCTGTCTGTCTAACACAGTTAAGTCACCCTGCAGCTTCATATGCCAGCCAGGAGTACTTAGCAGTCCAGAATCAACAGGTTGCTGCTGTTGAGCAGTACCAGAACACGGGAGCAAAAAAGAATGGAAAATGTTATATGTGACACAGCAGCCTTGATGGATGATGATGATAAAAGACAAGAATCACCTTCTTGGCCCCCATCCACTCACCTCTAAATGGGCACTATCTCCAAGGATAGGTGTAGCTATTAGGGCAAAAAATGCTGCTCTGTAACTGGTCTCTATGTGTCATTCTCAAGCACATCCAAATGCATACACACACCCCACAGTACATACTATGTAGGGTGGAAATCTGAAACCTACTGTTAGCAATCATACCCATATATTTCTGCTTGGAATATATATAACACATATATTTTTTTTATATCTATATATATATAATGAGCAGAATTAGACAATAAAGCACATAAAGGACTTATATGTCTTTATTAAATTACCCAAAACATATTCATAGGTAGAAGGCATAAACTTCTACAAATGGGTTAATTATATCATTCAATTGTTTCATCTAAATATTTTATTCAAATTAAGAAGTGTCTATTAAATTTTAAAAATAATTTATATATTTATCCCAAAACAACCAAGTGAACTGTATTAGTCTAATGTCATAATACAATTTGTTAATTAGCAAGTTAAAAGAGCAACTTATCTCCTGGTCATAGGCATTAGTCAAATGACAATATACAGCGTTTCCAGGCTCCCAGGTACCCAGGCACAGATGTCCTCTTTAGTTCACCATAATGTAACTAATATATTGATACATTTTTACAAAAACTATATATAACCATCCATAAGTTCTACCTCTTACAGAGGCATAACTATAGACATGACTAGTAGAAAAAAGTATTTGTAAACATTTTAAATAACCCTTCAAATATTCATCTCAGTGAAACATTCTTTGAACACAGTAGGTACATGTAAGTATCTGTGAAAATGTCAGACATGCATATAAACACATTTATATATTTATGCATATGTTGACATAAGATGCTGGTGTCATTCTGTTTGATACTGGTTATATGACATTCAACAGGCAGAGAGAAACAATATAAGCTAAGATGGAAGAAATTGATTTTTTAAAACAAGATAGATTTAATGACCATGAAGAAAGAACAAACAATAAAATCAGGAAATAGAAGCCATTCATGAAAAGGAAGCCTAAGTGTCAAAATGATTTTAGAGAAGTTGAATAGCCCTCATAAAGTACAAGACATAAAAAACACTTGTTTAAATTAGAAAAAAAAATGGAAAAATTAAAACAAAATATGCTTTCTCATAGGACATAAACAGTGAGAAAGTATTTATAGATGAAAAGACTGATGAAATGCAAAAATTGTGACATTATCAGAACATTTCATAAATTTATAAGACAGGCAGAGAAGATGGAAAACATAAAAGCCTAAACTGAGAGACATGGGTAGTTATAAGACTGAAAAGGCTGAAAAGTGGAGTTTTGTTTCATTTTCAAGTTTTACAAATTTTTCAAAAGGTTGGTAAAATGATTGCTGAATGTGGGAGTTCAGTGAGCAAACTGGTAGGAAATGGCCTTGCAAAAGTGACATTACGTAAGCTAATTACAAGTTCAAACGCAAAGCCCCCAACTCTAGTGACCCCTGCAGTGCACACACTGCCTTTCAGATGCAGTTATCACAGGGAAGCAAGAGTTGGGACAGCTACAAAATAATGAGTTCCTTTGATTACGTAGTGCAGAGCCCAGAGATGGTCCTAGAAACCTGGGGTTGTTTGGAATGGCAGCAGAACACGGCCTATCCTCACCAATGCAATGAAGGTGAAGAATAAATGCCTTTGATTTACTTTCAGTGCAATGACTGTATAGCCAGGCTCAAATTGGAGCTGTAAATCCAGGTAATACCCCCACAATCCAAAAACAGACAGAAAGTAATTGTTTCTCGCGAAACCTCTCCTAAGTAGAAGCAGCAATAATTTATGGCAATGGGAATCTCTAGAAATAGAGTTTACAAAGCTGTATTGGATTTAGGGGTACAAGTTCACCCCTCTTCAGAAGTACGTCACCACACGACCCCTCCACCAAAGCCAAGCCTAGTCCTCACCATCGTCCAGGAAGCCACTCCCCTGGGTCCCCCACCCCTCGCCCTTTGGTAACGGGTTTCACAGTGCGAACTTTTAAAATTGTTTCTTTTTATTGAGGTAACTGGTTTACAACCCTGCAAAGGATTTAGGGGTACAAGTTTGCACCTCTTCACCACACCCTTCACCATAACCCTCTGCCACAGTCGATGGGGCGCCTTCCTATGGAAAATGTTCGAGTGCTAAGAGACCCAGACCCAGAAAACTACCCAAGTCCAACCATTTGCCACAAAATGCCTGCAAGCACGCGCACAGCTGGTGAACCTGAAAGAGGGCTACATACCCCAGCCAAAGAGAGCGCGGCGCCACAGGCTACCCCTCAAAATGGCGAGCTGGGTCACTGAACACTGAACGCGCAAAGGCTTCTGGGGGCACGCCCCGCCTCTGGATGGGGCTGGGGAGGCAGGGGAGCTGGCGGGCGCAAAGGCTTCTGGGGGCACGCCTCGCCTCTGGATGGGGGTGGGGAGGCAGGGAAGTTGGAGGGCGCAAAGGCTTCTGGGTACAGGCCTTGCCTCTGAACTGAACGAGATAATGGGCGGCCCTAGAGAGGGAGGGGTGAGAGGGGTGTCCGTGTGGAGCCTCGGGCTTCCTCTGGAGCACCTGTGCGGAGTAATTGAAACAGCTAGGCCACAGCCCAGCGCCCCAAGGCCCAGAGGCACCTAAGGTTGGCCTGACTGGGCAGGTGGACAGCAGGAGGAAGACGGGTAAGGACGAAAAGGTGCAACCGTCCCTCCTTGCGCGCTCAGCCCACAGCGAAGCAGCTAAGCGACCGCTCAGGGCTGCGGCCCCTCAGTGTCCTGTCGCGGGTCACAGCACAGCCTTCCTGTGCAGAAGCTGCTTGGCCCACAGGGCCGGCCGGTTTGGCCCAAGGCTGAGGAAGGAGAGACCCGAGGTGTCAGGGAGGGATTCCTATGGCCGTGGTGAAGCAGGTAAGTCTCGGACCATTGTTTCTTGTTCTAGGAAGTACAGATGTGAATAGATGGCCTGTGGGACTGTGTGAGGTATGGAGAAGGTGAGCAATAAATGGTGGCAATCCCTGTCCCAAGCCTGTTTGAAAAAGGATGTAATTTTGTTCTGTCTTTTTTTATTAAGTAAGAATGTAAGAAAGTATACGAATCGAAGACCATATATTTAGTGCCTGACTAGATTGTTATACAGTGTATACTTTGAAGCACAAAAGAAACTGTCAGGCAAGAGGGAAAAAGAAAATGGAATTATATAATACCAAAAGAAAAAAAGACTACCCAGGAATCCTAATCACTAAACATAAATGGGGAAAGAGAGATGAAAAGCCAGCCCTTGAATCCACATGGATAAATTGGTTGAAGCCTAGAAAAAAGAGTTTCCAAGCATGGGAAGTTCACAGTCAAATTAATGAGTGATGTCATGAAATCGTTCTGGCGTTTTTGGCAGTCGATTGACAGCTCGACTCTTGATGGCATGGATTTTGCAGAGTTCTGTGCTAAAATACCTCAAGTCCTATGAGAGTGTTGCATTTGAATCAGGGTGACTTTGAAAGTTTGGAAGTGAAGAGAGAGACAAAGAATTTAGGTCCAGAGACCACCAAAGGCTTTCAGAGTGGAATGAAAGAAGACACAGAACTAGAGGGATGATGGAATTATTGGTATATAAAATTTTTGTGGAAATTTTAGTGATTATGAAAGCAAATTGGTAGGGAAGATGAGGTGGGTAGAGCTTTGAAACTGGACTCAAGACAGAGTATTGAAGCAGCGACCCCCTCCTAGGGTGTTCAAGGTGTAAACAGATCTCAAAGTGATGTGAATATTAAGGTCAGCGGCAAACTGAAACTTTACCTAGAAAGGATCTTGAGGGATCTTGAAAGGATCTCCTTCGCCCATCCCCACCCCCATGAAAATGACCCTTTCTTTTTTTTCAGCTGTTTTTAAGTGAGCTCCCTCAGGGCACTTTAGAAAGCAGAGAGATGTCAGGATCATAATTGAACTTGAGAACCCTGTGAAGCAAGGGGAGAGCTTTCCCAACACTGGAAAATCTAAGAATTTGTCTCCAACACAGAACTTCAAGTGCCTCACTCGATGAAGAAATTGACGTTTTTACCTAAAATAACTGTTCAAACTGTCCATTTGCTACGTTTTATAAACATCAGAAGGGCACCACTGACACCCAAGTGAAAAATCCCTACCTTGGCCAAAATGGTTTCACATCAAAACAACTTACCTACCAAGTAAAACTTTCTGCACTCCCTGGGCTCAGGGGAATTTGGGGCAGGAGAGTTTGTGCCTACCCAGCAGAGAAGCAAAGCCTTTAACCCCCAAAGGGAAAGATGCTTTGGATTGAAAAATTGCTGGCATTAGCTGCTCTTTTTTTTCTCTTGGGAACCAAGGAGGTAGCTCCCGAATTCCCCTCAGAGCAGCCCCACACCATGATCTGTCTGTTGTCCACCTTTTAACTTGCTCTGTATAAACATTTCCCCCTCTGCTGCAAACAGCTGCCCACCTCCGCCTGCCTGCCTGCCGCCCTGCTTGCTGGCCACCCCTCCCCAGGTTTCAGCTGGAGGAGCGCCTCACAAACAACTCGGGCTTTAGGGCTCAGTGTTTTGCAGGCCTGCCAGTTCTTTCAGGAGGTCGTTTACACACTTGGCTCTCACTTCAATGAGCTACTCTGGAGCAGTCAGTGAAAAGTGCTTTTGCTCCTGAAAAATACTGGAGTGATTTGTGGTGAATGGTGAATCCATGCCCCAATGGCTAAAGATCACTGCCAACCCAACCTGATTGAACTGAGGGCTCCGTGGGGGGTGATTGTATTCCCTTAATGTGTGATATGGGCCAATTTCAGCTCCCAGGTGATTTTTTGTAAATAAGGTAATTTTCTCCTGATTCATCCAGGTTCTCTTGGTCTTGCCTGCCTGGTCATCCTTTTGTTTGTAAACCACCATGGTGCCTAATTCTTAATGGGCCAAAAAGGACACAAAGCTAACATTTACTTATTACATCCACATCAAGTGTGTGTAGAAAAACACCCCCTTGCACACACCCTTTAGAAAAGACATAAATTTTGACAGGAAAATATTTCCAGGGGAGTTCCATTTATTTCTTTACTCAGTTGTAATGGCAACACTATCAAATTAGTATGTGTTGCCTCCAACTTAATGTTTTCATTTGGTTCTTTTTCCTCGTAAGTGTGCTATAAAAAAGATGATTAATCAAGAGAGGAGGGCTACCTTTGATTAAGGAAGTTAATTATGAGTGGTTGACTTGATGTGGGTGGGAAGTTTCATCAGCCATTTATTTTCTTCTCCATGGGATCATAGCAAATGCACAAAGAAAGAGTCACTGGAGTAGTGAAAACTGTTAGAGGAAACTTCTGCTGCCATCATCAATAAGCAATGCCGAAAATGTGTCTTTGTCTATGTTTTATTGCACATTTAATGGGCTTCCAAGTGCTAGATAAACATTAAATCTTTCCAAAATTCCATGATGGATTATATAAATAAGCCCCATGAAATGGGTAGTGTTATACCCATTTCATGAAGGGGAAGCTGAGTCAAACCTGAATTGTAAGAAAGGAAGTTGTTTTCATTATTGTAGTTTGCTCCTGGAGTTCCACATAAAGCATTTTAAGCAGTGGTGTTGAGAGATGCACTCTGGAGCTGGAATACCTAGGCCCAGCCCCTGGTTCTGCCTTCCTGCTAGCTGGGTGAACATGGCAAACTATTTCACCTCTTTATGCCTCAGTTTTTTCATCTGTAGATACTCTCTATCTACAGTTTGAAAACTGAGTCAAACTGAAAACGCCTTAGATTAATGCCAACCTGGCAGCTCAGTGGTGGTGGATACAGACATCAGAATGTATAAATCCTAAATGGAACAAACTAGCTGTTACTGCATGCCTGTGCTGGAGTTCTTGTTTCCGTGACTATGCATTTTGCACTCTAAGACCTGAGATCTGATCTCACAGTTGGAAGGACAGCCCCAGGATCTTCTGGCTGCTTTGTCTTCAACCAAATTACTTGGTCGTGTTCTCCTGTGAGGAAATGATATCCATTTGGCTCTGCCTCTCTAAGAACCTACAGCTTTCTCTCTCCTCTAGTGAACTTTCTTAGAATTCTTTTTTCTCTGTAAACACTACTTCCATTCAGTTGTCACCTTCTATGCAGGTCACGGTGATGTCCTTTCTTCTGGTTCTGACAGTGTTCGTATTCTTACTGGTGTTCTGGTGAAGGGTATGAATGGTCAGTTGTTTTTTATTAACTTATGAATTGTTTATTTCTGGAATTTTCCATTTAATAATTTCAGACTACAGTTTACCTGAGGTAACTGAAACCAGCTAAATGACAAGGTTCACAAGGGCAACCTATTTGGCAAAAATTATGTGACATTGAATAAAGAAATGAAAGCATCAGGTAGAACAAAAATGGATAAAAGATAATAAGGAAAGGTTAGAAAGTTCTAAATACCTAGTAGAAATACAATTGGAATGGTCAACCCTAAGATCTATCTCTATTTTTTGTAGTACAAAAAGAGCTCTTCTGCTTTTCTTAAGTTTCTTTGCTACATTAGAATGATGGAATACAAATATTTCCCCTCCCTCCTGGAAGGTTTTGAAAAATAGAGTCCTCCCTGCCCTAGAGTAAAGGGAAGCAGGTTTCCATTTGCTCAAGATTTGGCTCAGGGTTTAAGGGATCTTTAAAACCTTTTATGAAAGATCCAAAAGATCCACAAGATAAGGGAAGGTTTACAAGGGAAAACAGGGCAGAAGGGAGTATTTCTCCAAATATCAGAGGAACGGAGAGAATTGAAAGGAGAACCCAAGATACCTCCTTCTTAAGAAGGGCTTTCTGAAGGACCACTGTGAAGGGCATCCTGAGAGGGCCGTGGAAGCCACAACACCCTAAACCATGGCCTCCTGATCTCCCAGCCACAAACTCTGTCCACACCATAGGTGTGAGAACACTGAATCAATTTCTTTTTTCTTTATTGTTGCTTCAAAAATTTATATTCCTTGAATTAAAGCAAAATGCCTGAAGCAGCACACAGCAAGTTACATAAATACTAATGAAGTTAAGTTCAGTTAGGAGTGCATATACTTTTAGCTTTTGATTTATGGACGCTTATTTCTAAACTTTTTTTTTTTTTGATGTCTTATAAGTCTCTTTATTTTTTATTTTTTACTGAAATATAGTTGCTATATAACAATTTATTAGTTTCAGTGTGATACAATGATTTGATATTTTTAGGCATTGCAGGCTGATCCCTTTTACTATTTTGGCTACTCATCACCTCTTACCTCTGGCAACCACCAATTTGTCCACTGTATCAGGCTCTTTTTTTTTTTTTCTATATTTGTTTTTTTTTTTAAGTCCACATAAAGTTAACATCATGTGGTACTTGCTTAAGTTGGTA